CATACCTAAAGCAGCACATATTCTTTCTCCTTTAATAAAATTGTTAGAAGGCTATATAATAAAAAGAAATCTCGTTCTCGTGTGTTCAGGATTCATCCCCACAATTAAATTGGAACGAGAATGCTGAACAAGCCTTTATTGCTGCCAAAAATGCCATTGCTCAGGCTACCCTTTTGAGACACCCTATTCCCGGAGCCCAGCTAAGCATCTGGGTAGATGCCTCAGACGTCGCAATCGGCGGCACACTTATGCAGTTGTCTCAACAAACATGGGAACCTATAGCATTTTTCTCTATGAAAACTCATAAAAGTCAACAGAAATGGTCCGCGTACGATAGGGAATTATTTTCTATTTATTCTGCAATTAAGAAATTCCGACACATGTTAGAGGGCAGAAAATTTTATAATTTATACGGATCAAAAACCGTTAATATACGCTTTTTTAAACAGAACCCTCATAAATGTTCACCTCGACAACTTGCGCCATTTAGATTTTATTTCTCAGTACTCTACTGATATTAGGCATGTGCAAGGTTCAAAAAACGTCGTTGCTGACGCTCTTTCAAGAATCGAAATTGATTCCATAACAAAATCTCCATTTTTGGATTTTAAAAAAATTTTTTCGGAAGCTCAAAGGCATGATCCGGAGGTACAGACCTTCTCAAAACAACACATCATCTTTGAAACTGGAATTTAAACCGTGCCAATATTCTGATGGTAATATTCTTTGTGACATATCAACAGGACATTCCTCGTCCATTGTTCCGAAATTCCTTTCGCAGACTCATCTTTAATCATCTGCATAATCTGTCACATCCAGAATTGCAGCTACTACTACGAAGCTTATTTGTTCTCGTTATGTATGGCCCGATATGAAACGTCATATCAAAAATTGGGTGAAATCCTGTGAATCTTGCCAAAAATCGAAAATTACTAGGCATACTAAAGCACCACTGGGCACATTCTCCTGATGATTTTCAGAAATCCATATGGATACGTTTCATCCATATGGATATCGGGGACCGTTACCTCCATCAGAAGGCAATGTACCTTTTGACTCTCATAGATAGATTCTCCAGATGCCTGAAGCCATTCCCATCCCGGATATGAAACGAAACCATTTGCAGAGCCATCTTCAACTGTTGGATATCTCGTTTTGGTTGCCCATCGATCATAACAACAGACCAAGGTTCTCAAATGAGATCCGCACTTTTTGCAGAATTCACGCGCATTTTGGGTACGAACAGAATCACAACAACAGCCTATCATCCAATGTCAACGGCATTGTTGAACGATTTCATCGACATTTAAAATCTCTCAAGGCTCACGAGACCAATAACTGGACTGAAACACTACCAGTGTTTATGCTTGGTATTCGGACAGCCGTAAAGGAAGATCTACAGTCATCTTGTGCTGAACTGGTGTACGGCACAACTCAAGCTGCCTAGTGATATGATACGTCATCTAAGATATCTCCGTATGACACACAATTTATCACGAATCTTAGGCATAGAATGCAACAATTGAATCCAATAGCAACATCTGCACATTGCCAAGAAAAATGTTTACGTAAGTGCTACCTTAAAGTCGTGTACGCATGTATACTTACGTGTCGATCGAGTAAAGCCACCTCTGTGCCAACCATATACAGGTCCGCATAAAGTTCTTTCTAGAACAACAAAACTTTCACAATTGATGTAACGGTCTGAAATTTACTGTGTCTATAGACCGTGTGAAACCAGCCTATTTGCTTTCGGACTCTAATTTGCCTGAACTGAAAACAAATAAAGACTTAAAGACAGTTCATCAGAATAAATCTGCAAACGAACTCTCTAAGACGCAAACTGTCACCAGATCGGGAAGACACGTTCACTTCCCTACGAAACTTGCTTCTTACATAACAATTTAAATTTTTTTTTTTAAATTCATATCGTTAACATATCTTCTTGTTATTTCATGTTTATTATATGTGTCATTTACCTTGTTATATATTGAATTGCATTTTGATCTTTTTTAATTTTATAATTCTAATTTTGTAAATTCATGAAAAAAATACCCGACAGTACGGATCCTCTGAGATAATTTTCATAACCTGATGTCGTTTCCTTTTGAATAGGCCATCAAAGGATCTGGGGGGAAACTCTGTGGTGATGGCGATAAGGAGCGCGCCTTGCGCCCTCCAATAAGTGTGGCAACCCTAGAGGAGAAGTTTCTTACGAGTAGCGAGCAGAGCGAAACAGGCAGGCTGTTGGGGAGTATGCGCAAAGTTCCTAAATAAAGCTTAATTTTATTGTGCACTATGTCTTGTTAATATTATATTAATGCAGTAAGAACATAATCTGTGATATGGAATTCGAGGATTGGCAGTAAAAACATAACCGGAAATCTCCATAAACTTCAAATTAATCCTACGACATTCACCCATTGTACCGTGTGAGTAAGAAACAAGCAATGTACTTCCTAAGCAACATACACCACAAAAGCCCTTGCCAAAACATCCCATGATTCAAAATTTCCCAGAATAATGCAAACAATTATGTCATAATAGGGTTTCCATAACATTCAACTACTCAGGTTACCATAAATGATACAACAATTTGGCAATAATACAAAGGGTACCTTAAAGTCAACTCTAACCTTTTTTTTTTTTTTCTTATAAGTTTGTACTCGTCCTATCTATAACGCAAGTTGAATACGAAAGGGTTTTCCAGAATTAAAAAATGGAAGAAATAGATTAAGGAGTACTATGAAGCAAGTTAATTTGGGGTCATTGCCATTGATGAACCTAGAGAAGAATATTTTGGCTTAAATACAAATTCAAGATATTATAAGGTATTTCTCCCAATTTCCTTTCGTAGTGTAGTGGTTCTGCACATTGGGCTGGTATTCCAGAGGTCTGTGGTTTGATTCCCAGCAAAGGTGCTTGCTAATCTTTCATCTCTCCAGCTTCCAAAATTAACCTAATGTCTCTACAATATAATGGCGGAAATATATGCCCAGGCACCTGAAATTTAAAAATATTTAAATGGCTAGTCATGAATCAACCGTTGTTTTGTTTACACAATTATTTAGTCACTGTTATTTATTGTTTGTAGTTTGTCTGCATATATATATATATGAATAAAGTGTTACTTTTCTGCAAAGGTATGTTTTTATTTTATAAAATTATTTTTATGATGACAATGATAACTTAATGTATAATGACAATTCACAAAGGCTGGCATATTTCATACTTAGGGCTGGCATATTTTTTCCTGGCAGTGCCAATTTCTTTGGCCACTGCCACTGTCTATAGCAGGGCTTAATTTCTGAAACTAGAATACTGGAAACTACAGGTGTGGTGAACAAAAAAGTAAAATAATATGTTATGAGTTATTAAAATTAAATAAAATGTAAAGTTTATTGAATAAATTAAAGAAAGTGTGTCGTGAAAGTTAAATGAAAACATAAAACACATAAAAAGTTAATAGCTTTATTATTATTATTATTATTATTATTTTTATTTTTTTGTCAGATAAAATTGTGGCTGCTATTTCATTAAAAATCTTTGTGATAGGTTACAGGGCATAAATATTTCACATTATGGAAAGTATTGCATTTAGACTGTCTTAAGTCCATTATCCCCTATACAGTCAAAAGTCGTTAATTCGGACTCGTCGGGACTTTGGCGATTCCGGATTATAGATCATCAGTTTAAATCTGGTAAGATGGCATGCAGAAATTATAAAATTAAAAATATGAAACCGTAATTTATGAAATAAAGAACAATTATGATCTAAAGGGTATCAAAATTTACAAAAAAAAAAAAAAAAAAAAGCTTAATATTTATTTGTTTACTTTATTAAACATTTCTTTCAATGTAAGTTGTTTAAGTTGCTTCGTTTTTTATGTGATAATACATTCTCTTTAATTCTATAAACAGACATAATTTCTTGTTCAGTTACAAAGTTCCGCTGTTCAAGTCCTGTAATTGCTGTGTCGAGAATACTGACTAATTTGTCAATCGAAATTTTTCGTTTTCAATAACCTCTGTCACTTTCTTTGGCTATCGGAAGCGAATTATAATGAACGAGGAATTTGATTTAAATCATATCAAAGACGGAGTACATCGAGATGAAATACTACATTTAATAAGGAATTATAAGCCAAATAAAATAAAAACATCTGCCCTGAAGATAAGGATAGTGCTGACAGATCAACTTCCAATTCATTGCACACCCGGCGGTAAAGATAAACAAAGTTTAGATAAACAAACGTTAAAGTTTAGATAAACAAAGGATATGCCTTTATCCATTTTTTTGCAGCAATTCCACTTTTTGTTTAATGGACTTCGAAACATACTTTCGCTTTGTAGATCCTTTACATATTAATAAATATATATTAGGAAATTCTATTTGACATAATCGAAAGTTCAAGCTTACTTTTATAAAATTGCTCTAATAGTCTGCAAAAAATAATAAGCCGAATCCAATTCGAAGATTAAGGAACAACGCAATCTGCAACATTAACTGAAATTAGATAATTTTAGCGTAGCTTATACCGTCCGTTATACATTAAACGCACATTTGTAAACGTATTTTGGGCACGCGCACACGCATATTCGCAGCAGTAAAGGTCTTATGCGTCAACGCGACGCATGCGCAGAAAGTTTGTAGCTTTAAGGTCGGATTATGGGTGTCCGAATTAACGACTTTTGACTATATTTACTGTACAATATTGAGGCATATACAGTAGCTAATATATTAATGTCATTTCAATAACTACTAAAAGAAATGTTAGATGAGTAATAAATTTTTTGCTAATGTTTCGATTCAGTTGTATGTGTGAACTCTTCTGATTTGTTTATCCAGAAATTATTTTTGACAAAAGTTGAGTATTAAAGTTTGCCTCTGGCTGAATTAAAGCACTATTCGTTAGTATTGATCAGTACTTTATATACACTTAGTTATTTGAAGATGTTTTGTTTTGTTTTTAATTTTTCTCTCTTTTTTCTTACTGAAGGGACAAAAGATGAAAGCTTTTAATATCAATCCAGTTGGAAAAAAAGGTCCAAAACCTGAACCTGAGAAACCCAGAAGAGATCCAAAACTTAAATGTTCGGTAAGTAATGAAAAAAATTTCTGCATGTTGTTTTGTCTGGTGCTGCTGCATGTGAAGTAAGGGGCTTTAATTCTGAAACTACAATGTTTTTATTTATTTATTTATTTATTCATTTTTTGGTTGTTGTTAAACTGTAAAGAATAACTAACCTTTTATCTTGGAAAGTGTTTAATTGCAGTAGCCATGATTATTTATATTATGGCGAGTAGCTTTTAACAGTTCCAGTTAAAATTTCAATATTAAATATTTTTCTTTAATCTGGTAATAATTTTAAAATTAAATGTGCTTTACAGTTAAAAATAGAAATTTTTTAAAGCTCATAAAAATGTCATTTAACTTTTCAAATTATTAAATTTTACTCAGTACCTTGACTTCCTGGAAAGTAAATAAATAAAATCTTGCCAGAATTTCATGACTTCATTGCTTCACTCAAGTTCTTACGTTAAAAAATGAACAATATTTTTAAAGTGGGACTGTCGGCTATCCTATTTTAAAAACAGTCATATCATAATTCAGTTATTAAATGTAAAAGAATATTTGTCAGCTCAATGCTTCCAACCTCACATAATAAAACAAATTGCAAATTAAAAAGCTCATTGAGGTTTTGTGCAACCCCAGTATGCATTCTAGGAGTAATATGTTTAATATTTAAGGTTCTGATGTGATACTTTAAGCTTAAAAGACTGATTGTTTCTTGTGAGGGAGAAAATTAGTTTTTCAGTCCATTAAAATATTTTAGAATAAGTTCTTACATAATATGAATATAATCATCTGATTATAAACATATCAAAGAAGTTATCTAAGTGCTCTTTAGAAGTATTATTTCTAAATGTGGGAGTCAGTAGCTGAACTACAGTAAGCACCACTTAATGTGGTCACAATTTCTTCACAGCTATTCTGAAAACACTAACCAAATGATAATATAATATTGAATGATGAGACAAAATATCCTTCAAAATATCAGTGAAAACAAATTAATTTAATATGCATATAACTAGAATTTTAATTAGAAAAATACTTTCTGTATGAGCTGTTCATAATATTCTTAATATAAAAATTCATTTATGAAATTTTCATAATGTGCAATGTTCGTACGGTCCTTAAGAGTCCTTAATTTTGGGCAAAATCAGCAGAAGGTCCTTAATTTTAAGCATCTGAAATATTTGTTTGTTTTTATGACTGCCATTTTGAGTGTGAATTAGCATTTTGTAGGAATATTTTTGGCGATTCACAGACGTATATATGGTTATCTTTTGAATGGGTTCGTGAGTTATAATTTGTTTTTAATTCTAATAGAAATGATGGGATACTCGAGTTTCTAAGCAAAAAGTGAAACATAAGCATTTCGAAATTCATTTTTTTTTTTTTTCTAATAAAGAGCTCTTAACCTTTTCTCGGGGGCTGGGACATATGTGTCCTGTACTAAGGATACAGCAACTGGGGGCTCGGGACAGTTTACCATTGGTGGGAGGGGTAGGAATTCTAGCGCTTGAGGCTTGATGACTATTTTATGAGACCCGGGAAAGTGCGTTCTTTTGTGGGATTCCGCTAATGGATTGGCGAAAATTGTCCGTGTTTTAAACCCACATGGCTTGTTTGCAAATTCGGTATCTTCCAGGAAATATTTTGTTGAGAGGAGAAAATAAAAACCAGTTTAACTACCAGTTTGTTACTTTGATTCTCACGCGTTTGCGTTTTCAGGTTTTTTCCTGTACAAATACGGCTTGGAGGTCAAATATCAAAGAAATTTTATTTTCGGAAGCTTGGCTGCTAAAATTCTTCGGAAATTATTTTAAAACCTTGAATGTATTTAAAATTGCATAATTTTTTCAGTTATTTCTAATTAAATTCTTTTTAATTTGGTTTCAATTCGAATTTGAAACTATCTTCGTTTCATTCTTTTAATAAGTGCTTTTATCACTTTATTCCAATTTTTAGTATAAGGCAGTGTAGTAATATAAATGTTTCAGGTAATGAAAATTAATTTTAATGTTATTTCTAATTGACATGCATTCCACAACTACCGCTTATTTGAGTGAAATTTTGGTTTGTTATATTCTAAATGATAACTAGCGGCCGAGCGAATAATATTTCTTGAACTCTGATAATTTGACCTTGATTCAAATTCCGATGAACGGATTGACTGCATGAACGTTTCTTGTTCTCTCACATATGTAAAAGCCAATTTCCTTTGAACGCCCTCCACGAAAGCCCCTTTTGCTTAGTAGATAACACTTTATTTAATTCGACAAATAAAAATAAAATTATATTCGAAATAAGAAAGCTAAACTTATGAGCGTTTCATAACTATGTTTAGAAACCCTTGCTTTTATGAATCATTTTAATGACAAAATGAATTTTAATTGTGTGACAAATGAAACACGAATTTTTATTAAAGCAGTTATTATGGAACATTTTCTAATTCAAAATTTAAAAAAATTTCAAAACTTATTAATTTATCCTTCGTTATATGATTTGCGTCTATAATGACATATCTGTATCAATTTGTTCAGAAATTAGATACGTTAGTTTAGGTTAATTGAATATCGGAAAGCACACGAAGGCTGCCTACCTAAAGGAAAGCATGCCTTCGTGAAGAACGTTTAGGAGAAATTGGCTCGTATTCACGTTACACATGGGGGAAACAACGAAAACCAACCATGCGGCCAGCTCGATCGCCTGACATCGAACCTATGTCTAACTACCAGTATTCACCAGCCTTAACCTCTCAGTAACTTGTAGTGTTCAGAAAGTAATTACGTGAGAATCGTGTTTTTGAGGGAATCAACAAGATATTGGAATACTAAGCATGTTTACAGGAATTCAGATGTGTACTACTTTTTAGTTCCCTGAATTTAATCCTCAGTGCGAATTTTCATTAATATTCATTAACTCAGTACAAATTTTCATTCCCAGCTTCATTACTTCCATAGAAAGCAAAAGTAAATACAGGGTTCGTAGCGGTCCTTACAAGTGCTTATAAGTCCTTATATTTGAAAATAAAATATAAAGGCCCTTATAGGTGCTTACTTTTTCTTTAAAGCCCCTTTTTTTTTTGTTTTTAGTGCTTATTTTTTGCTTTTAGTGCTTTTTTTTAATCCTTTGTTTTTTAATGAACGCTCATTTTGTCCCCGTACCAAAGCCGAAACTAAATAAACAACTTTTCTTCCTTATATGTAACGTCAGATGGTGAATCATACTCCCGAAAATTGTTTTTCCCCTTTCTTCCTCTGCATTAACGTAACCTATGGTGCTAGCGAGAATACAGACAGGTGCACGTAGTTCTATTGGCCAAAGAATTGCGAAAACGTAGAAAATTTCGGTACATTCTGTATTCTTTTCCTCCCACCCAAATAAATACTACACACGTTTGAATTTCTATCAAGATTTTAACAATTTGCATTCTTGTTCCGCATGGTCAGTTCATATTCGTGTTTATTATGATCGTTATGCTTATATTATGAGCATATGTATGAATATTTATAATAATATAATTGCAGTAACTGCTGAAGTATAGATAAACTTCCAAAATGGGTGTGTTTTTACACAGATTAGCTTTTCTAAGGAATAATATTCGGAATGGCTGAAATAAGAGGAAAGTAATCGAATAGTCCAAATAATTCTTTTCTTTGCCAATACATATACGGGAAGGAAGTTTCTCCGCAAAATCTCTAATATTGAAGCAGCGGACTTTTTTTTTTTTTTTTTTGTCACTGTCCAATCCTGGATTGAATAGGACTAAAGTTTTTTGCGGTCTACCCAACCCCCCAAGCGAAGATTGATTCTATCCGGAAATTTAATACATCTGTTGAAAATTAGAATCAGAAACACCCCAGATTTAGTAAGTCTTCTTCTTTTCCTTTATTTAGTTCTTCTTTCTCCGAATACCAGCAGGTGTTGATTCCGATTGCGTAATATCACATATGGAAGAATTACGCCGCACGTATTGTGCAATAACGTTTGCTATTGTGCAATAACGTTTGCGGTATTTTGCATTGATAATTAATTTTGATGTTCAGTCTGAGATTTGTTTATGAACACTTAAAAGAGTTTTTCTGTGCTTTCTAAGCAGAATATTTCTCAGTTCCGTTGGTTTTTATATGATGCACATATTGAAATGTCAAAATCATTTATTTAGCTTAAATTTAAATCTAAAGAACGGCTACAATCTCTCCCACTCCTCTTTTTCCAGTTACTATCCGGAAAATTCCGGAATTTCCGAGATGCTGGTTAGTTAAGCTTTTAACTGTTAAAGGATGACTGAAGAAGCAATTTCCCGTCTTCTGATTTCAGAAATGTGCCTCTTTTTTACTTAAATTACTTTGCTTGAGATATATGTTAAGGAAAACTGTATGCAATGAAAATTTAGAAATGTTTTCAGAATGATTCAAGTTAAATATTTAAATGTGAGTGGAAAAATAAATTGTATTTATTATTAGGTGCCAAACGAAAAATAATATGGCTTATTATTATTTATTTTCTATATTTTCAACTGAATATATCATCATTAAATTTTGTATATCGTTTAGTTCTGCATAGTTTTTTTTTTCTCATTGTAAACTAATTCTGTAAATTGAACTGTCATTTAAAATTGGGGGGGGGAAATTTTTTTTCCATTGTTGAGGTAATGCTCATTGTCTTAATAAATATTGTATTGCTCATATTTTAAATTACAAGTCTAATTTTTAAGGTTATGCAGTAGTGTATAAATATTATTTGTTATAGTTGTGTATATATATTCGGACCAAATTTCGAATAAAGGCCAACAGACTGGCTCTAGGGGTGTTTTCGTGATTTTCCACATGTGTGTCGTATATGCAGTATATTCTCAGGATGCATACTTTAATAAAGCAGTCGCAGCCCGCGCAAAACCGCTGGACACTGGTAGTTCGGTCCAACTTTCGAATCCCGGCAAGCCGGCTGGGTGCATGGGTGTTTTCGTGATTTTATGCATGTGTAACGTGTATGCAGTATCTTCTCGATGCATACGTGAATAAAGC